GTTTTTTTTTACTTTTTTTCTTTTTTCTTTTTCTATAATATTCTAGCAATTTTTTATTTTGTAATGGATTATCAAGATATCGTTTCAAGAGATTATTTGTTTCAGTTTCATTCATTTGATAAATGGAATAACAAAAACTTATTATTTTTATTTATTGAGGGTTTATAAAAGGATATCGTGCGTAGAAATAAATTCATACTTTTGATGTTAGATGTTACAAATCTCATCCCACATCAGAAATAATGTCTATATTAGAGAAGGATGTACAGATATTTTATTACGTTTATAATATTAGTAAATTTTACTTTAAAAATTATGTAGATAAAAATATTTTCCAAAAAATGGTACCTCTCTCTGCCGATAATAAAGAAATAATACGAGAGTGGTTAAAATATCAAGAAGTTGACGACAACAGTAAGATTGAAGAATATATTGAGGAATGGGATGATGAATTGTTCAATTATATTTTAGGAGAAGACGACGGTGCACATAAATGTCTACCATTTTTATGGCAACTCTACCTTGACAAATTGGTCTTGCATCGTTATTACAATACTTTGTTTTGGAAGAGGAGGTGTTTATCCCAAGGAGTAACCCCGTAACCCCTAATGTGGAGGATCATAAAAAATTCTTTATGAGAATGTACTTAATAAAAATATACATATTACAATTTAATCTTCCTCCTTGTTTATTTGTTTGATTTCAATATTTATTGGAGGAGTATTATCAAATTTTAGACATAATGTCCCAATAAAAGCTTCATGAGAAGCGCTGAAAATAAATTAGTATTTAGCTTCATCGCATAGTTTTTTTACTTTTTTTCTTTTTTCTTTATCTATAATATTATATTTTTTTTTTTTTTGTAGTGGATTATCAAGATATCGTTTCAAGAGATTATGTGTTTCAGTTTCATTCATTTAATAAATGGAATAACAAAACTTATTATTTTTATTTATTGAGGGTTTATAAAAGGATATCATGTATAGAAATGAATTCATACTTTGATGTTACAAATCCCATCCCACATCAGAAATAATGCCGCCTATATTAGAGAATTTAGATGTACAGATATTTTACTACATTTATAATATGAGTAAATTGGATTTTAAAAATTATGTAGATGAAAATATTTTCAAAAAAATGGTACCCCCCGTACCTCTCTCCGCCGGTAATAAAGAACTAATACGAGAGTGGTTAAAATATCAAGAAGTTGACGACGACAGTAAGATTGAAGAATATATTGAGGAATGGGATGATAAATTTTTCGATTATATTTTAGGAGAAGACGACGGCACACATAAATGTCTACCATTTTTATGGCAATATTACTATGACAAATTGGTCTTGCATCGTTATTACAATACTTTGCTTTGGAAGAAGGAGTGTTTATCCAAAGGAGTAACCCCGTAACCCCTTATGTGATATGTCATAAAAAAATGCTTTATGAGAAATGTACTTAATAAAAATATACATATATTTAATCTTCCTCCTTGTTTCTTTGTTTGATTCCCATATTTATTGGAGGAGTATTATCAGATTTTAGACATAATGTTCCAATAGAAGCTTTTGTTTCAGTTTCATTCATTTGATAAATGGAATAACAAAACTTATTATTTTTATTTATTGAGGGTTTATAAAAGGATATCATGTATAGAAATGAATTCATACTTTGATGTTACAAATCCCATCCCACATCAGAAATAATGCCGCCTATATTAGAGAATTTAGATGTACAGATATTTTACTACATTTATAATATGAGTAAATTGGATTTTAAAAATTATGTAGATGAAAATATTTTCAAAAAAATGGTACCCCCCGTACCTCTCTCCGCCGGTAATAAAGAACTAATAGGAGAGTGGTTAAAATATCAAGAAGTTGACGACGACAGTAAGATTGAAGAATATATTGAGGAATGGGATGATAAATTTTTCGATTATATTTTAGGAGAGGACGACGGCACATATAAATGTCTACCATTTTTATGGCAATATTACTATGACAAATTGGTCTTGCATCGTTATTACAATACTTTGCTTTGGAAGAAGGAGTGTTTATCCAAAGGAGTAACCCTGATATGTCATAAAAAAATGCTTTATGAGAAATGTACTTAATAAAAATATACATATATTTAATCTTCCTCCTTATTTCTTTGTTTGATTCCCATATTTATTGGAGGAGTATTATCAGATTTTAGACATAATGTCCCAATAGAAGCTTTTGTTTCAGTTTCATTCATTTGATAAATGGAATAACAAAACTTATTATTTTTATTTATTGAGGGTTTATAAAAGATCATGTGTAGAAATGAATTCATACTTTTATGTTACAAATCCCATCCCACATCAGAAATAATGCCTATATTAGAGAATTTAGATGTACAGATATTTTACGACGAAAATATTTTCCAAAAAATGGTACCCCCCGTACCTCTCTCTGCTCAAGTTTTTCATTTTAAAAATCAATAGGAGAACAAACAATAAATCCGATAAATTTAGAAGATTTTTATACTTACCACCACCGCATTAATTCTCAAACCTTAAGGCTAGCTATATGATTATTTATTTTCTTCATACACTCACTGAAATGTTTGTAGCTGTGGTGTGGATATTTATTTTCTTCTTTGTACTATAATTGGAGACTTTGCACATTAAATCTCGGCGGCGTTGGCAGTTTTTCCTTAAAAAAAAATACATTATAAAAATGGATCAAATTTTTCATTTTCAAAAAATATGAGAGGAACAAACAATAAATCCGATAAATTTAGAATATTTTTATACTAACTACCACCGTATTCATTCTCAAACCTTAAGGCTAGCTGTGTGATTATTTATTTTCTTTTAACAGAAAATTATCATTTTATATCTCATCCATCAAAGGTGGTCGCACTATTATACAATTGTGCAAACTAACGTTAAAAAGCATTAATAAAATATGGATACTTATGTTAAATTATATACATCATTGCTATTTAGTCTTAAATGGCAATGGGGCTGCCGACTAAGACTTAGTGGGTAGTTTTCACTATTTAGTGTGACATATATATATATATATATATATATATATATATATATATATATATATATATATATATATATATATATATATATATATATATATATATATAACACTGGTCAACATAAAAAAAAATATCATGGTTCTGGATCAAAACAGTCTGATTCTAGTGTAATTGTATGTGCTGAACTCAATTATGACATTCGTATAGCTGTATCAGGCTCAGTTTTCCAGAACCAGCATATCTATATATTTAGTGTACCATGCTATTCATACAGTAATTTATATGCTTATTGGCTCCACTTATGCAGTTATTTAGTCCTGATTTGTGCTTTTTTGTTTGTTTCAGTTTGCTGATTCATGATATTGCATATCTACACCTGCATGATTTGTAATTACTCTGAAATTAACAAAACATGGAACGTCGCAAGTGTGTGAACGGTGTTGACAGTTTTTGCCACATATGTGGTGCCTTCACTCCTGGTAGCCTCAAGAAACCAATCACAAAAGCTGTTCGACTGAACTACAAAAGTTACTTCAAATGTCATTTGGGTGACCAAGACAAGAAATGGGCACCTCCTGTAGCCTGTAAGTCTTGTGTTAACCACCTGAGCGAGTTTATGTGTGGTAAACGAAGTTCAGGAATGCCGTTTGCTGTACCAATGATATGGCGTGAACCTAAAGACCACAGTAGTGACTGCTACTTCTGTCTCACAAATATTAAGGGAATAAAAATCAAGACACGAGGCAAGGTACAGTACCCCAATATTGCTTCTGCAATCCGACCAGTACCGCACAGTGCTGAACTTCCAGTCCCAAATCCACTGACTGAACAAGAATTGAGTGATTCCGATTCTACCTCTACCTCAATGGAAAACGACTACCAGGATGACTCTGAAAATACCAGGCCTAAACTATTTACTCAAGAAGCGCTTCATGATCTCATCAGGGACCTAAACTTGTCAAAAGAAAAGGCTGAAGTTTTGGGATCCAGACTAAAGCAGCGTAACCTGCTAGAAGATGGAGTGCATATCACTACAGCGCGTTACCGACATAGACAGCTGTCTGCATTTTTCAAGATGGCAAACAACCTTTGTTATTGCGAGGACGCAGTATCTCTCATGCAACAACTCTGCAAGTCTGAAACATACAAGACAGAGGATTGGAGGCTGTTTATAGACTCAGGAAAAGACTCTCTGAAAGCTGTTCTTTTACACAATGGCAATCGGCTTCCATCTGTCCCAATAGCACACGCAACAAAAATGACTGAGAGCTATGAAACAATGAAAATTCTGTTGGCCGCTATAGAGTATGAGAAACACCAGTGGAAGATATGTGGCGATCTCAAAGTCATCAGTTTACTACTGGGCCTTCAGAGTGGCTACACAAAGCACATGTGCTTTTTGTGCTTGTGGAACAGCAGAGCTGATGCAGAGCACTATGTGAGAAAGGATTGGCCGACAAGACCAAGAGATGCGCCTGGAAGGTTTAACTGTGCTCACAATCCGCTTGTAGATCCAGAAAAGATATTTTTGCCTCCACTGCATCTAAAGCTCGGTTTGGCTAAAAATTTCATCAAAGCTATGGATCAATTCTGTGCTGGGACTCTATACTTATCTCAGAAACTAGGTGGTGTGGTTTCCGAAGCCAAGTTGAAAGCAGGTGTCTTGAATGGACCACAAATTCGTATACTAGTTAATGATAGCGAATTCACCAAAACATTGAACCCACTGGAGAAAAAAGCATGGGAATCATTTGTCAATGTGTCAAAGAATTTTCTTGGAAACTATCGTGCTGACAACTACAAAGAAATCGTAACAACCATGCTTCAGAATTATCATGCATTGGGAGCAAGGATGTCCTTGAAATTGCATTTTTTCCACTCTCATATTGAATTTTTCCCAGGTAACCTTGGAGACGTTAGTGATGAACACGGCGAAAGATTTCATCAAGATATCGCCATAATGGAGAGCAGATATCAGGGACAATTCAGTCCTAACATGATGGGCGACTATTGCTGGACACTGCAACGAGAAGAGAGCAAGCTGTACAAGAGAAAGAGTAAAGTTCAGAAGCACTTTTAGAACTTCATATTTTGTCATTATAAAGGATTTGAACTTATGTTTTTTGGTACAATTTTTTATGAGCTTATCTGTGATAGGTTTAAAATTGTATCTTGCATGACCCGATAATGTTACTATATTTACTATTTTTTTTAGTCTTTAAGAAAGTAGGTCTGATGGTAGAATGAAACATCCAATTAATATTCATTAATATGAAATTAGTCATGAAAGCACAGTCACATGAGATAATCTCATCTTTTGCACGACACGTGATGGAATATTAAATATTTGTACCAATTGATTTTTTTATAAAACCTGGTCTGATAGGACAAAACAAACATCAGATTCGAATTCAGCAATATGAAATTAGTTGTGTGAGCATGATCTCATATGTGAACCATTTTGGCTGTTGACCAGTGTAATCAACACCTCAACCCGCCAGGATTCCGGCCCACGACTGTGACGGGGGAACTCTACCTCTGGACCACCAGGATACAAAAAGCAGTCCTAGACTCTGCTATATTTCACACAAAGCCCCCATTAGAGGTTCATGGCGCCATAAGCTCGTTGAACAGGCTTTGTGTGAAATATAACAAGGTCTAGGACTGCTTTTAGTATCCTGGTGGTCCTGAGGTAGCGTTCCCCGGTCACAGTCATGGGCTCGTGGGCCGTGGGTTCGAATCTTGGCTGGTTGAGGTGTTTTAGCTACTGTACATAAAATATGTTTTGTTTTGTTCTTTGGAATATAAAAAGAAACAGCCAAGATTCTTTTTTTCGATAAAGGATTAAAGGAAAGATTTCCTTATTCCTAAGTCAATGAGTTGTTCGAGTGCTTAACTATCTATTACTTATTAAAGACACTTAGATCTAAACGTTATATTCTTGTTCAGGCGGAGAAAAGGTTAGAGAATCTTACAAAAGAAAAGTTCAGCAACAAAACTAACGTGACGTTGTTGAGGATGTCAGTGAGAGCATCAAGAATCACTTCGGTGGTCAGTTCCTCCCACTGTAACGAGTGACCCAGGCCAGAGTCTCTCGCCCTCAGAGCGTTCTTGGGCTGGTCACTGAATAATGGGAGGGCGAGGAGAGGTTTGGCGTGGTAGATGGTCTCCTGCAGGCTGAGGAGTCCACAGTGAGTGATGAACACCTTCACGTTGTCATGAGCTGCAGTACACAAGTTATGTCAGAGGCAGGAAGGTTATGGTCAAATGTACTTTAGATTGACCCCTTAATCAATACACGGGAAAAATACTAAAGTTTGCTTAAAGAAGAATTGGTTCCAGGATATAATCCTACAAAATCATCAAGTATTTGTCTATTCACAGAACCTAAAACTGTGTTGACATTGATGTAATTGGTCATATTTAAGTATTAAAGAGTCGCCGTCTGTATGAGGACTTGCTGATGGACTAAGTAAAAGTCAAGAAAACATGTAAACATGTAATAATTTCACTCTTACTAGACATATGTGTAGAGGACATTATGATTTGACAGCCACACCTTTAATTGACCTGGATGTTTGTCACAGAAAGGAAGTGAAATGGATACGATAACGAAAACATAATGTATGATAAACATAAAAGAAGTAATTTTATAGTGTAGTTAGTAAAAGGAAATAAGGTGTGTCACTTATATGGCCACAACGGAACATATTTTACAAAATTCTGACAAACTGTACAAAAAAAAAAAAAGATGCAAGTGAACCGTTGGATGGACTTATACAGAGGGCAACAGTGACAGCACAAGAAGTAGTGGGTTTTCAACAACAAATATCCCAGACTAGACTCACCGAGAACATCCTGCTGGGGGAGCCACTTGCTGATCATCACGTTGTCGGGGACGTCCTTCAGCTCTCCCTCAAATTTCCAGATGACCCGCTGAGGTAACCTGCGGAATACCTGGAGGAAGATCTGCTGATACTCAAGTGGCAACGACTTACTGTCCATCACAGAACCCAGACTGAAGTAGATGACGCCCGCAGACCCAGCGCCATTGATCCAAGATTCGAGATCCTGTAAGACATCGAGTTGTAGTCAGCCAAGTTCTGGACACCAAGAATGTCCAGGGGAAGAAAGGGGGAGGAAGCTTTTGTGCCTGTCACTGTTATATTTCCAGAAGGAATCACATTACTAACAAAGTATTTACAAAGATGTTCTGATCGCTCTGGACAATACAATAGTTTTATTTTCTCGTAAAGTACACTCAGTAACACAAGGTTGTAACATAGGATTAAGAAGATCTGGAATTTGATTGGCAGTAATTGGCAGACAAATAACCGTAAGGGCATTTACTAGAGAAGGTCACAATATGGGCAGTACGTGACCTCCAGCAGTAGTAGTTACCTAAGCCACCCAGCAGGCGTATTAGCTGTGACCTCCAGTAGAAGGACTTAATGAAGCCTCAAACAGAAGTACTTAATGAAGACTCCAGCAGGAATACTTAAGTGAAACCTTCAGCAGGAAAACTTAACAGTCATGCAGCCGAAGTACCCAGTTGAGCCAAACGGCATGATCAGCAAAAACCATACCTGTGGCATGCAAATGAAGGCTTACCTCTGGTATGGAGCAGAACACCTACCTGTGGCATGTAGTAGAACATTTACTTTTTTTTTTTACGGGCATTAGCCCACCCGGGCACAGGTCATTTTTAATGACCCACATCAAGGCCTGGGGTTCGAAAATATAATATAATAAAATAATAATATAAAATAATTATGATGATGATGATGATAATAATAATAATAATAATAATAATAATTGTCATAAAATTAATACAAATATATATTAAATAAATAACAAATTATAATAAAATAACAATAATAAGAATATGAATAAGAAAATTAGTAACAACATTTAAATTAAATAACAATTATAATAAAAAAATTAATAAAAATTTAAAAAAATTATCAATAATACCCCCAGTAATAAGAAAGAGCCATAAATATATACATAAACAAAAATGAAACGATATATGTATGTTGTGTTGTCCAAGTAAGAGAAACAATTGAGACCCAGCAATTGTGTGTAAATGAGGCAGAAAGTCAGATCAGCAACCTGGGACTTGGTCACAATTTTTGTGATGCCATATGGCAGCAGGGTCTACCATTAGACAAAACATTACGCTTCTAATATCTTCCCTGGCGGTAGTACCTCCGTTTGATAGCTGCCTACTTTCCTGTGGCGTGCAACGGAACACATTTACCTGTGGCGTGCAACAGAACACATTTACCTGTGGCGTGCAACAGAACACTTACCTGTGGTATGCATAAAAACACTTACCTGTGGAAGGGGTTTACCGGGACGACAGTGCATGGCGCCCACCTCCACCTGTGAGGGCAGGAGGGGCAGCGCCTTGTCCATGGAGAACTGAGTGTTGAGAAGCACCAGACTTGTGTTTTTCTCCAGGTCTAGCAGCGGCGGTAGGTCCGAGAACTGGGCTGAGATCTGAGGAAGGGCAGACGTTCAGAGAGCACAAGCCTCAATACCTTCACAATACCTAAGTTGTGGCTGTGAGAGACCCTGATCTAACCATCACACTATACACCTACAAGAATAAAACTCTTCAATATGAGAGGGAAGGTTCCTGTAATGTGTGTTTCGTAACCTCTGTGTTGTATATTGTTCTCTTTCAGTAGATAATAATTTACAGCTCAGTGATCTTTCTGCCATAAACAATGGACATGCCAGGAACGATAATTAGTTTTTTTCTCTACAGTTACACACGCAGACAGTGTGATATGTCAGCCTATCAATGCCGTCGTCGGAAAATTTACTGACAGGTGCAAAACTCACCTCCTTCTGTATCGCAGGCACGGTAACCCAATTTCTGTGCATATAGGAATATCCCACTTGCGCAATCATGTCCATCAAGAGGCCCCATGAAGGTATTAGAAAGTGTCGTTCAAACATGGCATTGGCGAGATAGATTGGGTGGAGGAAGTTGCCCAGAACAGCACTAAATAGCGGGTCAATATCTCTTGTAGACACCATGATGAAGGGGACCTCATGCACGAAGGGATAAATCATCTGCAGGGAAAATATTGTGTGTCATCAATGTTTTAAAGGTAGAGGTAATATTGAAGTCGATGGAAGACTTCACAGGCATCAACAAGTGATACATTAACGTAGAACAAAGTTAAAAAATTCATTAATCAAAAGTTCTTTCAAAGTCACACAAATCTTGAAGGACTAAACTGACCCACACTGAATAGTCTGAGGAGTTGTTTTAAGATATTAATAACACCCAAAGACTCATAAGAGGGGGTAAACCTGAATAATCATAATGACCATAAATACCTTCACTACAGCGAAAGTGACACCTGAGATAGACACACTTACCTAAATGAATAGAAGAGTCAAGTTACATACGATCATATTAAGCTGTGGATGAAATTGAAGCTCTTTTCCATTTAAGACACTTTGTTAAATATAACACTGATTCCAGATACAATTTTCTTGATGACCATAAAACTAAAGCGAACTTCACTCATTTAATTGTACCTATGGAGAACAGAATCACTGACCTCACTGTATCTATGAAGAACAGCACTACTGACTACTTTGTATCTATGGAGAATAACACTACTGACCTGGGGGGCCAGTGGTAGAAGCGATACCGTTCTTACCTCGCAAGCGAGATGTCACGGGTTCGATTCCCGGGCCGGTGGAAGTTGTTTGGACAAACTTCCTAGCCCCCATTAGTCCCTGTTCACCTAGCAGTAAAGTAGGTACCTGTTGTAAGTCGAAAGTTGCGAATTCGTATTCAGGGAGTTGTTGGAGCTTCCAATAACTTGATGACATAAACCACTGACTCTTCAGGCTTCTACGCCATAAACTCATGAGACATAAAAGCAAGCATGAACTTCGCATGCTTCCCTGTTGGGCGCTGTAAACGCTTCTGCGCTTCACCTTACACAAGGATGTAGGGGGGTGCCCACTAAATAATAATTAACAAAAATAAAATACTACTGACCTGATTGTATCTATGATGCAGAACGATGAGATCAAACTCTTTCCGTCGTCGGTAAATATCTCTTACCGATGGCACCTTGTACAGCTTCCTGGCCATGACTATTTCGTACTCTTTTAGGAATTCAGCTGTTTTCGACGACCCTTTCAATTTGTTCATAAGGTCGCTCTTATCAAAACTGGGTCCCGGAATGCCGTGGTTAAATTCTCGGATATTTGGATGTTTGCAAGACTCTGTGTTGTTGGTAAGCATCACTATCTGTCGAGACAAAAAAAAATGGAAGTCGATATGTGAGGCTGTCTCAGATGAGCAATGCTGAGATAGAGAAATCCGACCGTAATAAAGATTTAGGGGTAATGATAAGAAGGAATCTCGAACCAAGACAACAATGAGTATTTCCTCGAAACAAGGCTAACAAAGTACTTGGGATCACACAAAGGAGTGTTAGTTACAAGACTAGCGAATATGACCTAAAGTGCAGTATATCTTGCACTTGTGAGACCTCACTTGGATTATGAGGCTCAGTTTTGGTCACAGTACTGCAGAATGGAATGGATATCGAATCCCTTAGAAAGCATTCGCAGGAGGTTGTCCATTCTAATCCTAGGTATTAGGATCCTTGAGCATAGAGAAAGATGAAAGCATCTAAATTTGCATTTCCACGAGAAATGCAGAGTGAGGGGCGATATGATCGAAATGTGCTGAACTCACTAGAGGAAAGATCACTGCCGATTTAGCTTCCGGAGATTAACTGAATGTCCAATCATCGATAGTGTTAGTTGTGAGTAGCTCCGTGCCTCTTTGAAGGCTGAGCTAGAGAAGGCCATGCACGAAAACTTGAGGTTGAAGAAAGTGATTGCGAGGATGAAGGAGAAAGATATGAGACGGGGGGAGTTTGTGTGTGACAACACCACAGGCCAGTGGAGGGTGATGAGGAGAGGAACTATGAAACTGGTGATGAAAAACGTCAACAAGGAAATGACAACAGCTAAGTGGACTAACTTGTTTAGTGCTTTAGTAGACGAAATTGAGGGTAACATAGTCAAGGACAAGGCTGACAAGGAAGATGCGAAAACCTTTATTGTTTGGGATTCTCAGGGAAGTTACCTAGATCGAGCTTTCTGTGGTAAAGACAGAAATAAGATGGAATTGTGTTTGCCAGGAGTTAGGGTGGGTGATATAGTAGACAGGATGGACATTTATCATTATCTGGCAAAGGGAACAAACCCATTATCTGCCTCAGTGAAGGAGGTAATGATATTGGCTGGTGTAGGAGTGAGGAGCTTCTTGATAAGTTCATAGCAGCTATTGACTGGATTAGGAGGAAGGGATGTAACCCTATCATTTATGGTGTCCTTCCTAGAAGGAGAGTTGGCAGTAAATGGTTGTCAAGGGCAGTTGCTGTCAATGAGTGTCTTGACAGATATTGCAAGTCAATATCAGTTCCATTCATTGACAACTGGGGCAACTTCAATGGCAGAAGGGACCGTTATGCCAGGAATGGGGTGCATTTATCTAGGGATGTGGTGGCAACCGTGGCTGACTCTCTCGAGATGGCAGTTCAAAAGATGTCAAAACCTTTAAACTGCTAGGGGAACATGTGAGCATGGGGGTCAAAGGTTACATAAAAATCATGCTCGGAATGGTGATAAAGATAAATTGGGCAGAGAGGACTCAGCTGACGACTAAAATAAATGTCTACTACGCAAACAGTAGAAGTATGAGACATAAAATGGATGAAATCAGGGCATTGGTATGTACCGAAAAAATGAATATAATAACATTCACAGAAACATAGATAAACTTATTCTCACGTGAGTTACCTGCCGAATACAAAATTAAAGGATACAAATTATTTCATACCGATAATCAGATTAGGAGAGAAGGAGTTTAGCAATCTATATCAGGAATAATTTGAAGTGTGATATCAATAAGAAAATAAAAACTGAACTGAATACAGGAACAATTTGGATAGAATTTACCAATGGTAGTGAAAAATTAATCATTGGGTAATATATAGTCCTCCTAATCTAGTTAGGGTTAATGAGCTACTTATTTGGGAATAAATATGCAGGGCATCCAGACATAGGTAAGTCTGTATAGTAGGCGACTTCAACTTTAGTCAAATAGATTACACCGCACTTACTGGTCACTCAGAATCAGAGTATTTTCTTAAAATAGTTCAGGACTGTTTTTTCAGTCAACATATAGCCTCACCCACCCGGGGAAATAATATACTAGATTTATTTCTGTCAGAGTAAACCTCATTAATAATGTCGATCTGGAGAGTGAACTAGATAACAGCGATCACAAAGAAGTGAGATTCAAAGTAGAACTTCATGTCAGTCATAAGAAAAATTCATTAAAGTCCCAGCTTTCTGAAGGGCAAACTTTGATAGGTTGAAAAGGCAGCTGAGAAAGGGGTATTACGCTTGGGGGTAACTACACGACCGTATGGGAGGTGGTAAATAATATGACCTCAGCTAATGTACCAACAGAGGTTGACTTCACTTACCAGGTGACCTGACAGTGATAAGTTCGCAAAATATGATCGTTCAGGGTGACCTGACCACAAGATATGAGGCTGACGAGTACAATAACAATGTAAATAATGAGTTACTTAATGCACATAGGCAGTGTATACTATACAGGAAACTCAGATCAAATAACATTGTCTTCAAATGGACAAAAAAATATTTAAAGAATATTATCGGACAAAGAAAGCCTATAGATAGGAGAATCAATCGTGGTGGCGTTTACCGCTGAGATTGTTATAGGGTTAAGACCGAGATAAGAAAAACAAGAGGAATACTGAACTGAAGGGAGCAAGGGAGGCGAAGTCAAACCCTAAGCCCTAAGGGATTCTTCCAAGTGTATCAAACTAAAACACGAAACAAGATTGGACCAATACAGTCAGACACCAGCGAGTTAAAGGATAGCAACGGAAAAATGAGCAATAATCTGGACTGATATTTCCTGTCAGTTTTCACCATCAAAAATTTCAAACATTATACCCGAAGCACGGAGTATCTACAGAAATAGTGAAGAAAATATATTAAATGAGGTAGAAGTGATTAGTAACGATGTTAGTAAACAAATAGATAAACTAAAATCTAATAAGTCGCCAGTTCACGACGGCATATTTGCCAGAGTATTAAAGGAATGTAAGGAAAAACTTTGTGTGCCCTTAACAAACTTGTTTAACATGTCATTAAAATCCGGTGTAGCACCAGAATCCTGGAGGATAGCGAATTTGATACCAATTTTCAAGAAATAAGATAGATCACTATCTACTAACTATCGTCCAATTAGTTTAAAGTCAATTGCATGCAAATTACTTGAAGCAATAATCTCAAACTCAATTCGAAATTACCCCCAGAAGCACAAATTGATCAATGATTTCTGGCTTGGCTTCACAAGTGGGCCTTCATGTCTGACAAATCAATTATCATTCATTTGAAATCAGTGGAAGATGGACTTTAGCAAAGCCTTCGACAGGGTCCCTCCACGAAAGACTAATACGTAAATTGAAATTAGTGGAATTGGAGAAGATATTCTAAACAAGCTTAGGGTGTGGTTACAGGACAGTAAATGGAGAGTCAGTATTAATGACACCAAATCCGATTGGGTGACATCACTAGTGGAGTATCTCAAGGCTCAGTACTTGGACCATTTCTATTTATCATCTACATAAACGACCTAGATATAGGCGTACACAGCAACATATGTAAATTTGTTGAAGACAAATCTACAGGAAAATCTAAACAAAAATTTGTAAATGATCTGAAAATTGGCAGATTAAATTTAATATTGGTAAATGTAAAGTGCTTAGCCTAAGAGATGTAGAGAGGGAACCAACATCAGATGAAAAACGTTGATATGGAGAAATCTGAATGTGAGAATGATTTGGGGATAATGATGAGTAGGAATCTGAAACCAAGTCAAGAATACGTACCTTCTCGAAACAACGTTAACTACGTACTAGGGTTTATACAAAGGAGTGCTAGGTACAAGACGAGCGAAATTATTCTAAAACTATATCTTGCGCTTGTGAGACCTCCCTTGGATTGTGCAGTTCAGTTTTGGTAACAGTATTTTCAATGATCAGTGAAACAAATAACATCAATCACTCATCAATAACTCGAACACGCTGGATAGCTTCATATATAAGTTTGACAGATAATGAACGATAGGGATTGGGTGTAAACGGGACTTCCTAGTATAGGCCAATAGGCCCGCTACAGTTTCCTCCAGTCTTATGTTCTTATGTGAGGTAAACGCCGGGGTGAGGTAGACCACGTGGTGAGGTAGACGTCGTGGTGAGTTAGACCCCGTGGTGAGGTACACGCAGTGGTGAGGTAGACGCCGCGCCGTGGTGAGGTAGACCCCGAGGTGAGGTGCACGCCGTGGTGATATAGACGCCTTGGTGAGGCAGATCCCATGGTGAGGTAGACGCCGTGGTGAGGTTGAAGCCGTGGTGAGGTTGGTGCCGTGGTAAGGTAGACGGCGTAGTGAGGTAAACAGAGTGGTGAGGTAGACGCCATAGTGAGGTATACGCAGTTGTGAGGTATACGCTGTCGTGAGGCAGACGCCATGATGACGAAGACGCCGTGGTTAGGTAGACGGCGTGGTGAGATAGACCCCGTGGTGAGATAGTCTGTTGTAACACTGTGGTTAGCTAAGATCAGCTGGAATAATATGGGCAGCAAAGGTGAGTTGGAACAGCTGGAACAGCATGGTCAACTAAGGTTCAGCTGGAACAACACGGGCACCTAAGGTCAGCTGGAACAGCATGGTCAGCTAAGGTGAGCTGTGGTCTTACCTGGTGTCCACGCTCAGCCAGAGCCTCAGCGAGTGTCAGGAAGACATTTCTGTGGCTCTTGGTGGAGAGAGGAAGAAGCATAAGGATGTTGTAGGATCTCTCAGGTGGCGGCAGGGCCTCCGCCACGCACCCCGCCAGGGTCAACACCAACACACACAGCGCCAGCACCTTCATCTGTGGACACCAATACGTCTACTGTACTAGGCTTGATAAACAGAGCATGTCCCTGGTTCTTTATCAAGACATCCTACTGAAATGAAGCTCTTCTTATTCTGTAAGCGATTCCTCGCCACATTGTCGTCAAGAGGCTGGCAGTGTCATCGAGGCTTTAGGGAGAGATATGCAGTACACCTTTTCACATATCCGTTGAGACATTATTACATAACTATTTGACAAATTTCATAACAAATGACAGAACATATATCGAATGACAATCTAAAATAACTGTTCGTTCATGCTAACGGAAATGAGTGACATAAGTTATGAAGTTGACAGACGTGAACAATAAGCCGACAGCCGACATATAGCTTGAGAATGTAACAATTGGAGAATGACATACCACCAACAGTTATTTTAGATTGTCATTCGATATGTGTTCTGTCATTCGGTTATGAAATTTGTCAAATAGTTATGTAACAATGTCTCAACGGATATGTGAAAAGGTGTATTGTGTGTCGTCTCCATACTCTCTCTCTCTTTCTTTCTTTCTCTCTCTCTCCCTCTCTCTCTTTATTCTCTCTCTCTCTCAGATCAAAATTAAGGAGTTTCTCAGTTTAGAAGAAAAACAAAATTTAGGTTGGTAAAGGACGCACAAGGAAAAAGGTTTTATGTGAAGCAATGAGAAGTGATGTATACAGTCTTTTAAGTCATATACAGGAACAGACAAACCTGGAAAATACATAGTTATGCACATATACATCAGCATGTACACACCAGAGATAAAATGCATATGTACTCATAGAAAGATATCGGTCAGTTACACGTATACAGAGTCAACTTAGGCGTTGGAAGGATAAGTATTTAAAGAGATTCTCAGGTGCTTACAGTTCACCCAGCTGTAAATGGGTACCTAAGTTTACAGCTTTGGGAAGAGAAAGCTTAGTATACAGTGTGCTGTACCCACACTTTCCCTTACAAGCTGTCATTCCTATGGGACCCACTTTCAATTTCGTTGATTTATCCGCCAGGGTCAAATTTATCACGTACTCTAAACAAAATTAGAAATGAATCATAACTGGACATTCTTATTGGAGAGTGTTATACCTGGTAATTACCTAACCTAACTCTACCTTAACCAAATCTAATGTACACATTCCAGATGGGTTATATATTTTGTAGTATTCTACCTGTATAAATTAATGACTAGTACCTGTGCATTATCTGATAACTAATAACTGGAGCTGTCCTGTCGAGTCAAACGCGATTATGATAACACGAGTCATAAATGATAACAGCAAGAATAGCCAAACTCGAGTGTTCAAACGTAGCTGGATATGTATTTAAAACACAACTAATCACCTCACAACAGATAAAAGATACTGCAAAGTGTAAAGCAATATAGCGGGTGATTTAGCAACAGTGGGGTATAATGGTCAGCTGTCTGCCTCCCACCACATGCTGTACTCAATACTAAAGGGGACCGGTGGTAGAAGCGGTACCGTTTTTGGCTCGCAAGCAAGATGTCACGGGTTCGATTCCCGGGCCGGTGGAAGTTGTTTGGACTTACTTCCTAGCCCCCATTAGTCCCTGTTCACCTAGCAGTAAAGTAGGTACCTGTTGTAAGTCGAAAGTTGCGAATTCGTATTCAGGGAGTTGTTGGAGATTCCAATAACTTGATGAAATAACATGAACTCAATACTAATTTTATTTACACTCTCAGAAAACCCTTAACTTGCCACAGTAATCTTGCTTCGGTCGTCTTCTGAACCACAACA